TTGGACCGGCATGATCATCATCTTCAACAGCGGTGTCAACCCGATCATATACGGGGCCAAGCACCCACACTTCAAGGAGGTGTTCCGTCACATGTTGCGGTGCCGGTATCACATGATTCCAGAGCCCTCTGGCTGCCTGCGTAAGATAAGATCCAGATAAATGACTGTATATGACTTCTCCGTATTTTCTTGACATGGGCTCAAAAATAATTAGCAATCGCAATAGGATGTATGTTCAAGATGATAAGGTTCACAACCTGAGTATAGAGTGCGTCAGTTCATTTGAACAAGAGTAACTTTCAAGAATGAAGGTGAAAGTGTATTGATATTTTTTTACATTTAATTGTTAGTACTACAATTGTGAATCTTGATGAAATGTTGTGAAAGGTGATCTTTTCATTAACTGGGCAGGCACACTGTTCTATAACAGTTCGACTTAATTGTGAGCAAATATCTTCTATAGAGTTGGACCTTCACAGAACCCTGCTAAGATTATTTGAAATAGTTTCTTATCAGATGTTTGGAACTTATCGTTTTCCTAATCATAGATTATTTGAAATAGTTTCTTATCAGATGTTTGGAACTTATCGTTTTCCTAATCATTTTAGGCCCACATGTCTAGTTAGGACTTGCATAGCTGCAAGAAGAGTGACTCTCATGCAGATTATTATCTTAGACCTTCCGTCATAGTGATGAGAACAACTCCTAGATTGGATTCAAGGAGAATAGAGTGGAAGGACGATCATGCAAACTCTTTTTATAAACTTCAAACCACTCAATATTGTTTTTGAAATACTCATGTAACTGAGGCTTTGTAGGGTCGGGAACTTTGGGTTGCACTCGTTGTCAAGTTTCCTTCCAAGTTTATCCCATGACCGATAACATGATTGGAGTTGTGAGTCGCTCTCATCTCGTTGGACATGTTGGTTCATGTCTGTTGTCCTCCCCACACCTTGCCTCAGACTGTTACGATTTCACCATGATGTTGATTTCTTTGAGACACTTGCGGTTCTTCG